CTTCCTTCCTTCCTTCCTTCCTCTATTGAAATAGACAGGATCTTACTGTGTAGCCCAGGCTACCAAGTGCCTCTCAAGGGCTGGGCTCGGAGGTGTGTGCTACCACAGCTGGCTTGATCTTACTTTATGTGTGGGTGTTCTGTCTTCATGTATGTCTGCACACTGTGTGCATGCCTGGTGCCTGCAGAAGCCAGACAATGGCTCTGGATCCTCTGGGACGGGAGTTATGGAATATGAGCTACCACATGAGTGCTGAGAATCAAACCCAGGTCCTCTAAAAGAGCATAAAATGCTTCCCGCTGTGTTGTGGAATATTATCTTAAGGTGTGCTACATTTGTGTATGCTGTGGAACATTCGTTTAGTGATGCACAGATGTGTTGCATTCTTTTATGTTGCATTTGTCTAACTCTGTAAAGCTGTGTTACTGTGCCTGTCTAAAACACTGATGGCCTAACAGAGCTGAACGGCCAACAGAAAGGCAGGAGAAAGGATAGGCGGGGCTGGCAGGCAGAGAGAATAAAGAGGAGGGAAATCTGGAAGGAGGGATCAAGGAACAAGAAGAGGAGAAGAGGAGGACATCAGGGGCCAGCCACCCAGCTACACAGCCAGCAACAGAGTAAGAAAGTAAGACATACAGAAATAGAAAAAGGTAAAAGCCAGAGACAAAAGACAGCTGGGATAATTTAAGAAAAGCTGGCAAGAAACAAGCCAAGCTAAGGCCGGGCATTTATAAGAAAGAATAAGCCTCTGTGTATTTATTTGGGAGCTGGGTGACGGGCCTCCCAAAAGAGTAAAGAGTGAAAACGACCCAAACACAGCCGTGAGCCATCTCTCTAGCCCCCTCCAGCTCCTTCCTTCCTTTTTGAGGGAATAGGAAGAATGGTGTACCTTGAACCAACAACTGTTGGCTATAAAGTAGTATTTGACGCCTTCTTCACCAAAATGATCGAGCAGGTATATTCCCAATGAGCCATGCTGGTCGTAGATCTTCTTCTTGGTAGGGTCACTGAGTACAGCATGGGCTGTGTTGATCTCTTTGAAGAATTCTCCTGCTTGAGTGTCCCCTGGATTCTTGTCTGGATGATATTTCAAGGCCAGTTTCCTATCCAGGCAATACCCAAAGGACAGTGGGGAGGGTAGGAGGTGACTGGGGTAAGAGGACTAGGATGGATGGCAGAGCTAGGTCTTTAGAGGGTGCAAGGTCTACAGGAGATGAGGTAAAGGATGGAGGCAAGGTCTACGTGTCTTCCAGTGTCAGTGAAGAAGGGGTGGCCTTCTTTGGCCAAACAAAAGCTTCTTAGGGTTTAAAAAGGGAGGGTCCAATAACGGTCAAGGGGTTGGGGGGAAATACCAGGGTTGAATGAAGGTGAGAGTCTGAACCTGTAGGCTCTTTTGATCTCTTCCGGCTGGGCACCTTTCTTTAGTTCTAGCACCGCATAGAGGCTGGTTCCAGTCTGGGATAGTCGCCGGGCTGTGTCATCTGCGTGAGGCATGCTCTGGGCCAAGAGGACAAAGTTACAAAGGCAGTAGTCGTCTGTGGCTCCCGTGACTTGAATCGGAAGAACGCAAACGTGAAGGAGGATACATCTTCCCCCTCACATTTCCCGGTGTCCTCCATGGACCTCACAGTCTAGAGGGGTAGGTCTAAGATGACAAAAAGGCTGATTTTGTCCAAAGCTCCTTCACCTGAAGTAAACAGCCCGACACCTGCTCAAGCTGGTGGCTGGGTTTGAAAGACCAGGGTAGCCCAGCCATTCAAAAGGGGGTGGATCAGAAATCGAGAAAAGTCACAGCAACAGGGGGTGGGGGATAGGAGGGTAGGAGGTTGGGGGTGGGTGGGGAGGGGAGAGAAGAACCAGCCAGACCCAAGCCCACCTGTGGGGGTGGGAGAGTGGTCGGGTTCAGGTTCAGGACCCCAGCAAAAGACTTGCTTTCCTCTCAGCCTCTAACCATCTCACCTCTACCCCTCAGAGCCCACACTGATGAGGACAGGAGGACTCCCTGGACAGAGGGAAGCCTACAGGAGCTGCTGCAGGGGATACACTCTAAGGGATGAGGTCCCCAAAGGAGTGTGGCTGAGGCCTGGGGGGCCCATGGGCCCCAGGAGGAACCAGGGCAACCACATGTGTTGAGACAACCTAGCCTTGTGTCGACTCCCCCACCTGGCTCTTTACCTCAGCACTGGTCTATTAAGCCAGGTAGACCTCACACAAGTTTCCTTCGTCCTGGGGGGTGCGAAGCTCCATTTTGCCGCTGGTTCCGTGGCCAACTGCGCTTGCGCACTGTGTAGGCGCAGCGAGTCGTTTTTTGGCACCGCCCAGCAGAACCCGGTGGAGAGCTCGGTCCCGGGCCTGGGACTTATTTGGCACCAGAAGCCTGACCCTCGGGCCCCGGGCTGGGCAGTTACTTCCAGCCGCCAGGGTAGAGGCACAGCCTCTTCCACATCATCCCTCTTCTCCAGGGAGAGTCCATGATCATCCCGATCACCGTCATGGCTCTCCAACTCACTCGGGAAAAAACGGTGGGCGTGGTGACCCGGCAGATGAGAGGTATGGGCAGGGATCGTCCTCAAGAGTCGTCACTTGGTCCGTTTTTTTAACCCCCCCTTACCTCTAGAAGCTTGTCTACAAACGTTGAGACTCACCTCAGGTGTCAGATTTCGGGGGAAATCAGTCCTCCGCGCCTCGGGAGGGTCTCATCGAGGCACTGACCCCGGCCAACTGTAACCGATCGTTGGCACCCTCCCTCAAAAATGACGTTTTGGGGTCCTTTCCGAAAGCGCCTTCGCTACCGTGCTTCCGTAATAAGGAGATACCACCGTGTAATTATCTAATCTAGATTGTATATTGAGTTGTTGCTTGATAGTATATTAATTAACCCTTTTCACGAACAGGCTCACAGACGGCCTGGAACAGATTTCTGATTTTTGTCTAAGGAGAGAGAGAAAGAGAGGAGAGAGGAGGAGAGAGAGAGAGAGAGAGAGAGAGAGAGAGAGAGAGAGAGAGAGAGAGAGAGACTGACTGGCTTGTGGAGGTCAGGGGACAACATGTGAGAGTCAGTTCCCTTCTGTTAGGCAGGTCCCAGGGATTGCGCTCAGGTGACCCTGCTTGGTGACAGGCACCTTCACCCAGTGAACCATCTAACTGACCCTGAATATATACATATTTTCCCAACTCAGCCCTTTTTAGATGTGCACGCTTCGTCAGACAGGCTGTTAAACTGGGTTCTCCTTCTTCCTCCTTACGTCCTAACCTTCACCATAATCTGTCTTTTTAGTCAGGGTTTCTATCGCTGCGACAAAACACCGTGACCAAGAGGCAAGTTGAGGAAAGGCTTTATTAAGGCTTGCACGTCAGCATTGCTGTTCATCACTGAAGGAAGGCAGGACAGGAACTCAAACAGGGCAGGATCCCAGAGGCAGGAGCTGATGCAGAGGCCATGGAGAGGTGCCGCTTACTGGCTTGTTCGCCATGGCTTGCTCAGCCTGCTTTCTTATAGAACCCAGGACCACCAGCCCAGGGATGGCACCACCCACAGTGGGCTGGACCCCCCCCCCCATTGATCACTAAATGAGAAAATGCCTTACAGCTGGATCTCAAGGAGGCATTTCCTCAGATGAGGCTCCTTCCTCTGAAGAATCTAGCTTGTGTCAAGTTGACACACAAAACCAGCCAGGTCATGTATATGTATCATTCTTTTCATATTCATTTCTTTAATGTCTTCCTTTCTCCGTTGACAGTGCCCACAAGGGCAGGAACCTTGTTGGTTTGTATCGCCAGTACCTACAGCTACGCCTGGCTCATAGCAAGGGAATTAATGATTTGTTGAATGAACTAAAGCTAAAGGCTCCCTCTCCCAGGGGAAATGAAGCTTGGAGACTGGCCAGCAAAAATTCCCTGGGATAGGAGCTGGAGAACTGCACAAGATGACAGACAGTATCCTCCCTCATATGGTTCTAGAGGCGAAGGAATGGAAAGGGCAGATAGACAGGGTTTCTCTGTGTCGATTTAGAGCCTATCCTGGATCTGGCTCTGTAGACCAGGGTGGCCTCGAACTCACAGAGATCCGCCTGGCTCTGCCTCCTGAGTGCTGGGATTAAAGGTGTGCACCACCACCGCCCGGCTCATTATTTCTTTGTCTTAGTATTCCTCAGCTCTTTTTTTCTTTTTTCTTTTTTTTTGGGGGGGGGGGGTTTCGAGACAGGGTTTCTCTGTGTAGCTTTGCACCTTTCCTGGAGCTCGCTTTGTAGACCAGGCTGGCCTCGAACTCACAGAGACCCGCCTGCCTCTGCCTCCTGAGTGCTGGGATTAAAGGCGTGGGCCGCCGCCGCCGCCGCCGCCGCCGCCACCACCACCACCACCACCACCACCACCACCACCACCACCATCATGCCCTCTGACATTCGAGTTCATCACAGTCTGTCGCCCTTGAAAGAGCCTTTCATTCCTGTGAAGCCCTGCTCTGGATGAGAAGATGCTGAGGATAGGCAGCCGCAGAGCATTGGATAGAGCAGGCCAGAGGGCCTGGCAAGCTGTGACCGAGGCTTCTAGGCTCTGCTCTCCAGAAAACACAGCTCTTTTGATGGTTTCTCACGAGCAGGTTTTTTTTTTTCTCACCCCATCACTGTAGTAGGCTGAGCGTGCAAGTCAGGCGTTAGATCTCAGGATCTCCATTCTGGCTCTGATTTTAACAAGCTGTGTGAACAGATCCCTTTGCCTCTAAATTTCTTTTTCTTCTGCTGTAAAAACCTGAGCTACCCCACAGGACTGATTCCAAAACTTTAATTAAATCTAGTTGCAAGAAAAAAAAAGAATTATTTTTTTTAGAAGCCAAGCATGGTGATGCACGCCTTTAATCCCAGCACCTCGGAGCAAGGCAGGCAGATCTCTGAGGCCAGCCTGGTCTACAGAGCAAGTTCCAGAACAGCCAGGGCTACACAGAGAAACTCTGTCTTGAAAAACCTAAATATTAGTGATGATGATGATGATGATGATGATGATAATAATAATAGGAAAAGAAACAACAAAATAACCTTGTCAATGAATGATTACAGGTTAAAAATTCTTGAGTTCTTTGTCTTCCCATAATGCCTTGAGTCAGTGAGCTTACTGTATCCTAACGGCCATTTGGTCCTTTCTGGAGAAACCGTGAAGCATCCCTTGTTTATCCACAAACAAAAAAACACTAGTCAGCCGGGCGGTGGTGGCGCACGCCTTTAATCCCAGCACTCGGGAGGCAGAGGCAGGCGGATCTCTGTGAGTTCGAGGCCAGCCTGGGCTACCAAGTG